GGGGGGGGGGGGGGGGGGGGGGGGGGGTTTCCGGGACCACGAAATTCGGATTCCTTGGGGTCAATTCCCTATTCAACCCCGCAGTCCCCGACTTCGTGCGACCTAAAACAACCGAGAAAAAGGCCTGGTACGATGGTCTGAAACACCGTGTATAGTAGGATCAAGGGAATTAACTTGATTAAAGTAGATGAAATAAAAAGCCTTATTCATTCAAGTTTTCCACAAATTAAAATAAACCAAAAATGGAAAGGAAATATCCCCATCTTAAATATTAACCCTAGAATTAAAATAAAACTATACAAATGACCCAAATTAAATATATAAAAAAAATAAATACAAGTATCATTAAAGAAAATCTCACTTGAACAAGATAATATCTTATTATTATTTCTCTAACTCTTCATCCTTCTCCTGATGTACACAAGCCCAAAAAAAAAATAAGACATACTTCTATAAGATATCAAATTATTAATCAATTATTTATAGTCCAGTTTATAAAGCTAAACGTAGTTACTAGATAAATTAATAAGACTTTTATATACTTTACTAGATAAGAAATTTTATTAATCTATGATTGAAATATGAATCCAATAACTTAGATTAGATTTACATATCTTTAGAAATAATTTCAAAATTACATAATTATTATATCATAGTAACCCTTTTATCAGGCATTCTAAAATATACAGCACTTAAGTATTAATAACTATATTCTTCTATGTATATATTATTCTACCTCTCCTTCTCTATTGCTAATGATTAATATATATAACTGGGCGAACTGAGCAATAGCCAAGAACCGAGCGTGTAATGGCGTCTTCCCTGTTGACAGACCACGAGATTCTCGGAAACGTAATAACCAAAATTTGAATTCCCGCCTCTAATGAATGCGGGATGCGCTACTGGAAGCGGGTCTTGGGCCAGCGAGACCCGCTTCCACTTTTCGGATGCGCATCCACTTTTACGTCATCAGCCAAACCAATTGCCGAACTCCCACCCGCATCGCCAAACTCATTACCCAACTAGGAACTGGATGTGGCACTGGATGCGAGAAATAAAATACGTAAAATGCCGCATCCATCGCAATTTTTGGATGCCCATCCACCTGCATCCACAAATAAAATACGTCTTACAAGAACGAATTAAAATAAATCTTTTGCCTAGAATAAAACTCCTCCTTACCTTTATTAGCTGATGAATTGTTGACCTTTGGGAAATTAGCAGGATATCCGCAATTATGAGGGGAGCTATTCGTTTGAATTCTCTTATATTCTTTTCCATTTGAGTAGTTAATCTGAACAAGGAAGATGTAAGACCAAAGGGTTAGAAATTGAAAAAAAAAAAAAAAAAAAAAAAAAAAAAAAAAAAAAAAAAAAAANAAAAAAAAAAAACAGTGTAGCGGAAATAATATGAATAAATTAAGATGCAAGAGACAAAACTTCATTCCATTTTTATAGACATACCAGGACACATTCTGATGCATTAAAAAAAAAGCCATAAACATGCAAAACAACAGAGGGCAGATAAAAGAGACCACAAGAAGCAACCAAGGGGCCAGATGGATTGAAAATTCAGATCTTGTTCTATGTGAAAAGAAACAACCACCCATAAAAGTTCCAGCTCAAAATAATCATTTTAACTTGCGTTATCAAGTGGACAAGATTTGACCTCCCCTCACTATCGAGCCTCAACCCTCAAAATCTATTGCCTTGAATTTCAACCTCTTTTTTGCAGAATAGTAGCTCTGATGAGGCTTTAAAACATACAACAAAGAGCCGTATGCAAAAACGACATTTTTCGCGCCCCCCCCCCCCNCCCCCCCCCCCCCACTAAAACTTATTCAAACTTCGTCTATCAGTTACTAACACTGGAGCACTTCTTTCCCCAAATTTTCAGACCCCCAATAAATTTTGGGGGGGCGCTAGGGGGGTGGAAGTCAAAACCTGTGAACCTCGATATCTTTCGAACGGAACAAGATATTGAGGCCCGGTTTGGACGAAAAATCGTCTAAAATTGCATACTTTAAGATGCTAAAGGTCAAAATCCCAAAATGACATTTTTAAATTAACTTATGTGCTTTTTTTCAGTTTTTGAGGAAAAACAATTTCTTTTAAACACACTAAACTGAAAAAGCACAATTTTGTATTTGAACCAAAACCAGTTTTTTAAATTGCTCGTCTTTTTTCGCATCCAACGAGTGGTCGTATAAGCTGGGGAACCGAACAGTTCCAGAGTTATGATCGATTGAAGTTTCCGCTCAACGCGCGCCGACCGATTTTCGCGCGCAAAAAAGTCGGATTTGACTGTTATTGAATCAGATTGAATGTTCGAACTGAGCCAAATGCATTATTAGGGACTCTTGAGGGTCGCTGAGTTCAGAAATTACAGATACTTCCAAAAAATTCACGTTTTTAAAATTACGTTGCATACGGCTCTTTGGTCAAAATATCTCGCATCGTCAGAAAGACATAACTACTCAGAAATAAAAAAATCCTTTTAAGGTGGAAATACATACATACATAATGAACAAAACAAAATGGATAAACAAGATTAAAATATAAAAGAACAACCCGACACGTTTCGGAGCTGAATAGTTCCATTTTCAATCGGCCAAATCAAAAAATAATTTTGTAAAAAAAGCTAAAGACCACCTGCTTCATTTTGGATGGACCAAGTAGAGTAAACAAGCATATATATACATGGAATACCCCTTTCCATGGAATTTCCCTGAAACTGGTTTTCTCAGGTTTTGCATGACAAGGTTGATAGGCAGGTTATTAGTTTTATTCCTCGACTTTTTTGAGGCTTGATAGAAGAACTCAGCCAAAATCTGTCATTTCCAACCTCCGCCTGATCATGGGAATATTTTTAGAAATGATGAGGGATCACTTTCTGAGGCTAAGACACCTAAAATTTTTTGAATCAAACAATTAGGGTGAAAAGGGGAGGGGGTCAAACTTAGAATAAAAAAGGCATACCTACCAGTCCGGCATACTACCACTACCAACAGTCTGTACAGTAAAGAGATGATCTTAATTTCGAAATTGAGAAAACCATTAATTTAAAGCTGATATGAATGAAATTGGTTCATTTAGGAATTTTAATTCATTGTTGCCGCTAGGGTGGTGAAGTTGAAATCAGTCAGCGCTGGCCCGTTTTTGAGGTGAAAAAACATGATTTTTTTGTAAAATTCGAAACTTTCAATGGACCGCGCCAACGGAAGGAGTTTGAATTTCGGCAAAAGAAGAAACACGGGTCCGTTTATATTACGAGAGGCAACTTTTCTGATGTAGCCGTCAAGCGATTTCGAAAAAAAGTGTTTTTCGCTCCACCCTACCGTACCTGGTATGTTTTGAATCCTGAGGTTACCCTTGCTCCTAAACTGACTGCAGGCCGCAAAACCTTGCGTTTTTGTACTACTTTAAGTTGAGCCCAAAACAATTAATTGGATCAAATTTTAAAAATGAGAACTTACGAATGTTATGCAAAGGGGAGATAGTTAAAAGTTTCAATTTTTTTGAAAATGAAATATCTCCTCAATAGTTTTCTGTAATGAAATGATTCCTTAGGGTGCGTCAAAAAAAATGAAAGTCTGAAATGTTCCGCTCCCCAGGCGGCAATCGATGACGTTTGGTAAAAAAACATGTTTGCCAAAATTTGGGCCAATTTCAACCATTTTAAATGGTGCCAAAGGTCAATTTTGTGATGAAATTATGATATTTTGGTTTAGACCTCGATTTCGTACAAAAAACTCGATTTTACGCTGAAATCGTGCGTTTACGAGAAAAATGTCAAAGAACTCGACTTGTAGAGGATGAAATTTTACACTAGGAGCACGTCTTTGTAACCGATAAAAATCAAATTGAACTAGAAAAACTCAACTCGGTATTTATTTTTTTGGTCCTCAGAATTTCCGAGGTCTTACAAAGTAGAGGTTTAAAAGACTCATTTTTCACGAAAATAAGTCGAAAGAGGGTATAAATGAACTGTAGGCAGGTGTTAAGGATGCAAATGTCATCAGAACTTCCTCAGTTTCAAAACAGTTCCAACTATTTTGCACAATCCTCCAAAAAGTGTACGGCTCGAGAAGCAGGATCGTGCCAGGGGATGTAAGGGGAAAGTGCGGTTTGACCGGGAAAAATTGCGTAACAAACTTTCCCTATGTAATCGTCATCGGTAGGTCCCCCTAAACAACTTCCTTCCTAAAAGTTAAAAATGGCCCGACCCCGGAATACCCCTCAAAAAAGTTAAAATTGAAAATGGCGGCCGTAATAAGAGGGTCCGGGAAATCGGTATTTTAAAATGCTCATTTTGTCTCATCCTGTGAGGTATCGTTTCCTATGTAATTTTGGTCGTAGATTTCATAAATGAATTCCGCAAGGCCCCTTCTGAGCTTAAGTTTCTCTCGGTAGTCGTATGTTTCCTTTAATTTCCTTTATTAAATATATTTATAACATCAAATTTAAGTTTCTTGGCCATAAATACATGAAAATATAGACACTTCACTTTTCTTGTTCCTTCGGTGAATATTTAAAAAAATGCAACCTCCTGCCTTTCACATTTGGCCGCCATCTTCGATTTGGAGCGCCTCCTTTGGCCGGAGGGCCTTGTGGAATTCATTTATGAAATCTACGACCAAAATTACATAGGAAACGATACCTCACAGGATGAGACAAAATGAGCATTTTAAAATACCGATTTCCCGGACCCTCTTATTACGGCCGCCATTTTCAATTTTAACTTTTTTGAGGGGTATTCCGGGGTCGGGCCATTTTTAACTTTTAGGAAGGAAGTTGTTTAGGGGGACCTACCGATGACGATTACATAGGGAAAGTTTGTTACGCAATTTTTCCCGGTCAAACCGCACTTTCCCCTTACATCCCCTGGCACGATCCTGCTTCTCGAGCCGTACACTTTTTGGAGGATTGTGCAAAATAGTTGGAACTGTTTTGAAACTGAGGAAGTTCTGATGACATTTGCATCCTTAACACCTGCCTACAGTTCATTTATACCCTCTTTCGACTTATTTTCGTGAAAAATGAGTCTTTTAAACCTCTACTTTGTAAGACCTCGGAAATTCTGAGGACCAAAAAAATAAATACCGAGTTGAGTTTTTCTAGTTCAATTTGATTTTTATCGGTTACAAAGACGTGCTCCTAGTGTAAAATTTCATCCTCTACAAGTCGAGTTCTTTGACATTTTTCTCGTAAACGCACGATTTCAGCGTAAAATCGAGTTTTTTGTACGAAATCGAGGTCTAAACCAAAATATCATAATTTCATCACAAAATTGACCTTTGGCACCATTTAAAATGGTTGAAATTGGCCCAAATTTTGGCAAACATGTTTTTTTACCAAACGTCATCGATTGCCGCCTGGGGAGCGGAACATTTCAGACTTTCATTTTTTTTGACGCACCCTAATGATTCCTCTCTTACAGTTTAAAAGAGATAGAGACCTTTCAATTAAATAGAAGTGATCCATTTTAAAATTCATCCATTGATCCATTTGACCAAATGAATCCATTTTTCGATCAGCTGTGGCCAAATTGTGGATTGACCTGAATTTTTAATTTTTCAGAGTTTGGGGCGAGACTCGGCGCTTTAAAAATTTTAACAGAGTAAAAAAAGCTGATTGCTATGGATGTAGGCAGTTCGAGTTCCAAAACAAGCTCAAGTCCGTCTTGGGGAAACAAATCTGGAGCATAGCTATTCTTTTTTACTGGTTGTTTGTTTTGAAACCGGAACAGTCTGCTTTCTTGAATATGTGGTTTAATTTTTGTTCTTTTCTGGGCTCCTACAAGAAACGTAGCCCAAAATATATAAATTGAAAACTAAAGTCAGGGCAATGCGACGATTCGCTTTGGGCTCAACTTAAAACAGTATAAAAACGCAAGGTTTTGCGGCCTGTAGTCAATTTAGGAGCAAGGGTAACCTCAGGAATCAAAACATACCAGGTACCGTAGGGTGGAGTAAAAAACACTTTTTTTTTAGCTTGACGGCTACATCAGGAAAGTTGCCTCTCGTAATATAAACGGACTTGTGTTTCGTCTTTTTCCGAAATTCTAACTCCTTCTGTTGGCACGGTCCACTGAAAGTTTCGAATTTTACGAAAAAATCATGTTTTTTCACCTAAAAAACGGGAGAGAGGTGAGGGAGAGATATTCAGTGGTAAATGAGAGTTTCAAGTGCTGGTTGGCTAGTTGCGTACAAGAGCCTATGAATATTATCTACAGCTTTTGAGTGTATTTTGCGGTAAAAGAGGCTTGATTTGGCTATTAAATATTAAATCAAGGATGGGGGGAGGGGGCGAATAAATAATGTATGCCAATGTCTTATCATTTAATAGAATTTAATTTACTTTCATTTCCCTTTTTTGTGAGAAATAAAAGGAATTTTGCACTAACGATTGATCATTCTTTAGGTGGAAGGAGCTTTGGACCTTCTTGTATCCGTCATCAGCTAAAGCGGGCACCAGGGGTAAAGGTAGGGAGGGGTGGCACGCGAGTATACACTCCCCGCGCTTCAAAAATAGCACGCCACGCCAACTTTGAACGGTCATAACTTTTGAACCATTTGTTTCCCCATCATGAACTATGGCTCATTTTAAAGCTTGAATCAAGGGATTTCATTTAGATTGGTTTTTGTAATGATTTCTGCGTTTCGTTTCATTGAAAAATCCGAAAAACTGAATTTTTTGGGCTTGTAAAATTAAACAATGATTTTTTCACATTGAAAAATTACCTGAGACTGACTTTAATATACATCAAATAAAAATTCTTGTTGAGAGCTTTCATTTGAGCCCAAGATCAAGTTAATCCGTTCTTTCGTTCAAAAGTTATGGCGGTCTGTGCGTTTGACCTTTGACCCCCCCTCCCCCCGCGCCCCTTGGAGGGCTAGACGGGAAAGGGCACCGGATTCAGGCTTCTCCGATGATCCGTTGTGATTCCTGAAAGTATGGATGTAAAATCTCTTGCGGCCGTTTCCTATGGACAGCCTCTTTGACGAAAACGCTGTTTTGAAGCAAAGATATATTTCGGAGAAAATATATCTGATTTTTTTTTAAATTTCGGTGAAATATTGCCAGCTTCATATGAGCTTAAGGTTTTCAATGTCCAACAACTTAATTTTAAAAAAATATAATAGACTTGTTCCCAGAAACAGAAATTTGGAAAACTGCTGAATCGACTTGAAAATGTAATATCAGGCTTAAATATCCTCAGAATAATTTTTTTTTTCGATCTACGAAGGGCGGGAAAAAGTTTGCTGCTCTTATTATTCGACATGAATGACAAGAATAGGATAAAATTTCGTTGATGGAGGAAAGAAGAGAAAAAACCAGGAGAAGAAAGATACAATTCAAGCAGGGAGAGTGCGATTATGAAGTCTCGTTCACTAGACATTGCCGCGCGCGCGCCTCTGGTCTGATTTTGGAAAAAGTCTTTTTAGTATTTTTTCATTATGCTGCCTTTTCTCCCCTCCTTTAATTCATAAAAGCTGTGCTAGGTGCATTGTCTGAGGTCCGAAAAAAACACAGAAAGCAATTCCATTGTCAGCATTATAGATAGCATATCTCAGATTCGGCGATGGTGATTTTAGTTAGGTGATAAACTTCAATAATTGCAAACAGTGCGTTAAGGAGAGGAAAAGTGAAGATATAGCGAACTCAAATATCTTTATCACTATATTTTACATAAATATATTAATGAAGTTTACCTCTGCATCGTGATCTAAAACCTAAGGAAATTTACGTGTTGTTAAGCGATATCACTTTAAAAGAATCGATACGTAACACACACTACAGGCAAATATCAGGATCTAAAACATCTGTCTCTGGGACCAAAACTATTATATTTGTTTAAAACTAAGTTGTTAGACGTCGATTACCTTCAGTTCATATGAAGCTGGCAATATTTCACCGAAATTTAAAAAAAAAAAATCAATTTTCTCCGAAATATATCTTTGCTTCAAAACAGTGTTTTCACATGCGTTCAATTTTTAGAAAACACTTGCGCGTCCTGTGTGCTCAAATTTGTAATTTATATTAAAAGTAGTGTATTAAAAGTCAACTATCTTGAGTTTTGACGACGATCGAAATATTCCCTCAAACTTTGAAAAATCAGTCAACTTGCTGAGATGGATCCCATTTACGCCTAAGCAGCGTTTTGGTCAATTTTCCGAATTTATAAAAAATACTTCCGCGTCTTGCACAAAAAATGTTCAATTTATATCAAAAGTAGTGTGTTAGGAGGCTATAATCTCAAATTTTCGGGGTTCTAGCATGACTGCTGCATCCCTAAAAAAATCATAAAATCTTCAAAAGTCTTACAATTTTATTTTTTATCAATTTTACCACTGTGCGATGCGGCAGCACTTAAATATTTTACAATTTATGTATTTTTGGCAACATTGCAATGGTAATAAATGAGCTTGGTGTAACATAATCATATGGATACTTCAGTTTCACGACGTGAAGTTGACATCAGACAGCGCTAGCCTGTTTTTAAGGTGAAAAAACGTGATTTTTTCGTAAAATTCGAAACTTTAAGTGGACCGTGCCAACGGAAGGAGTTTGAATTTCGGAAAAAGATAAAACATGGGTCCGTTTATATTACGAGAGGCAACTTTTCTGAAATACCCGTTTAGAGATTTCGAAAAAAAAATATGTTTTTCACTCCACCTTAATGTACCCATGCGCAACGTCACATTTGAAAAATCATAACCTCTCCCTGAATTATTCCCTGGCACAAAATAAGGCTTGTTTGAAAGTTCGACAGACTGATTTTATAGATGTATGGATTTGTTCTTTTTTTATTGATCCAACAAATGCCGCAAACCAAATGGGGCAAACAAATAAAACAGGGGATCTAAGAGATTTCAGAGAAGGGTCGAGATGGACATGAACAGGAGGCGTTTGATTGGCCACGGCCAGAAAAGCGACAGGGCAGGACAGTTTAACAAAGAAAATCCTATACAAAGCATCATGCTGGGTTTCCATTCTTTGGACGAAAACAATTATAAAATTGCATTGCTGTTATCACAAATCACAAGCACTTTCATGAAGTTGAAACCAAAGCTGAGATTATGCAACATTCAACAGAACAATTTTTCCATTTTTTCTGGCTTTAAAAAGTACTAGAATAAATCAAAACAATGCATACTTACTGGGCGCCTCTTGCAGTTAGAAACATTTTATTACTTCACATATTAGAGAAAAAAGGAAAAAAACCTGAGAAACCAGTTGAAAGGAAAAATGAATTATTACGTACTTCTCTACTTTGAACGCCTGCGATGCAAGCAGCTGCACAGTGCTCTCACAGATAAATCTATTCATATCACTTTTAGCAGAAATGGCACTGTACAAAGACAAATAACACTGACAGAAGGCAGGGAGAGCGTCCATCATTATGTAGGAACGGCAAGACAACAATGTGAAGAGAATATCAATACAGTCTGTACACACTGAAGAATCTTTCGACAAGTAGGATACAGTATTGAGACAGAAATCGAGAATTTGACCATCAAACTTGATCTGAAAGAGAAAAAACCTTCTAATTAATAAAGAAATAGTTAAGCATTAATTTTATCAATAAACTTCTTCCTTTGCTTCTTTTTTTTCTTTTTTTAATGGACCATCAGTCAAGGTACGAATTGAAGCTTTAAAGTACGAGGGTAATCTCAAAAGTCTTGCGCATTTTGCTCTCATTTCAAAACTATTAGAGGTAAGGAAAATCTGATTGGATGTGCATATGAGGCATACTTTCAGCTTTAATTTACGTTCAAGTTTTTAAAAATCGGATGAATAAGACGCTCAGAAGGTCATTTCTCCCACGCCAAAGTCATAGATTAATAAATAGACTCACTGTAAGAAGCGCCAAGGGGAGGAATCCACAACGGGCCTCCGGATGACCTTGATATGGTCGACAGGCCGGGTTGATCGAGCTGAGCGGAGCAAATATGAGCTGGGCCGAAGATGGTTGACTGAGATTCATCACCAACAATAATGACATGGTTGATTGACATCGTTCAAGGTCATTGAAAACGCTGTTCTATTGAAAAGATTGCCATGGCCGTTCTTATAGCTTCAGCTAGTTATTATTCTATGCCGAAGTCGATGCGTTTCTTGCCACCGGCGCACGAAAAGTCAACACTTTCAGAACCCATCTGGCATGATATTTTTTTTAATTCAATCATTTATGAACGATTTGATGGGGGACAGATCGAGAAATTACAGGAAAATAATGGAGCATTTCGTTAAATGTCACTCGGCGATCTTCGCGGATTTACGCGTCGATTTATTGCACTAAGTCACTATCGATCACACCTTAGCCTAGCACCTCTGGCTGCATCAAGCACTTCTGTTTTTTCTTCACGAGAAGATTGGCTCAACCTCTGGACATTTCCATCTCTCATCACATTTAACCGTAAACTGTTTGAAGTCTGGGAAAAATGTCACAAGGCCTAACACCTTCCGAAGTCAAAATTCGAATTACTGACCGAACTTCACAGTTTTCTGGCTCTGAATGTTATAAGGCTCAGTTTTCTGGCTTGCGCCGCCTGGAAATCCGAATTTTGATCTAAAACTTTGGGTTTCCTCTTTCTTGTCATTAAATTATAGGAATTTGCCTTGAGAGCCGAAATCAGACGCAAGTCACTATTTTTGGCATCAAGCTTATGCCTTACATGCGCATTTGATAGAATTTTCCATACCCCTAATAGTTTTGAGAACAAAGCGCGCAGGACTTTTGGGATTACCTTTGTATACTAGGTTGGGCACAAGAAACATTCGATACACCATTAAATTTTCAATTATTGAGTTAAAATGTTCTAGTTTGGAATGTAGTGCCAATCATCGAGGGGGAAAACGTTTTAGGAGGCCACGATCTCCCTACCCCCAAAAATGTCTACATTTTCAAATGGAGACAGGACAAACCCGGGCCCCCCACTTGTGAAGCATTGCTGGATGGCGCATGGAACCTTTCTTTTGCCCTTTCCGGTAGGTTATCTCCTCAAAATTCACAAGGAACGAAATTTGTACCTTAAAAGTTACTGAAAGTAACTCCTAACCAAGATAATAACTTTTTTCAATGCAAAAATTAGAACTTCTTGCTCAAAGAAAAAACTTTGATCTACTAGCGATTGCACTTTGTTTACTTTATGAACGACACACGGTGGGGAAAAAACACCGTTTGATTGAGAAACCTACCAAAACCGTCTTGTATGCAATTTGAGATTTGATTCAAGTAGACTCTTGTTATTCTTGTGAACGGGAAATTCTAATTCATCTTTGTTGGGAATTCATTTCAACAATTTTCTTTGCTTTGATCAAGTTCGAAATGAAATTTTATCAAATACAACATATGTCAAAAACATTTCACCTGAAACGTACATCAGAATGCTTATATTTGGTTTTTAATGGGCATATAAATAGGTTCCACTCTTATTTTTTTCGACCTCAATATGATGGGAACCCTTTTTTCTGAAAAGTGACCAAGAAATTGCCAAATATTCATGTTTTTTAAAAAAAATTTTACCCTTTGAATGGTGCTAAACTCAGGACTGTCATCATCCCTAAAACATGGTTCCAAGCTGATATAACTCAAAGAGTAAAACATTAATCGAAAACTTCCACTTCATTAAATATTTAAAACGGTTTCTTCATTACAAAACAAGAAATAAAAGATAAAAAATCCGCAAAACAATTGGCTCATAAGCGGAGTAAGAGCCTTCGTATATATTTACTCAAGACACTTTTGATGAGCTTCTTAACCAACCGCCTAGGGATTGCTTTGGAGCCGAGAATATGCTTAGCACATATATTTTTACTAATTTGATTTATCAGACTTTTTTTGGTGCGTATAAAATAGGAGGCCTTGCTTTTAAAATGGTCCTTGTATGTAGATACATCGGCGATCCTAAAAACTTGAAAAAATCAAAAAGCTGAATCATCCGATGAAGAATACAACCTTCCATTTGGTCAAAGTTTGATTTTAAAATTTATCTTGATATACAAAATTTATTTTTCTACTCTTACATTTTTTTTTCCTTCTTTGTCTGACAATGAAAGAAAAATTCCGAAAATTCTGGAAGGGTGAATGAAACATGCCATTTTAAAAACTCAGTCAATCAGCCAATTTTTTGCTTGAAGAGCTTTAAGAGGTCCCATTTTGAAGGCATTGAGGAGGCCTTTAAGACATTGTAGACCGTATCTTGATAGCTTTGATGGTTTGCTCATTATACAAAAATGGGTGCTACTTTTTGGCTGGTCTTGGTACTTTATACAGTAGATGGAAAAAGAAACTTAAGAATGCTCACCTGTGAAGTTAATATCGTTTGAGAAATGAACTCTAACAATACTGATTTATCTTTTTGAGTCATTTCATATTTATCTTGATGCAGTGAATTAAGTTTGAGACTTAAATTCATGACAAAGAAACATAGATACCCCTGTCTGCACTTCACTTTTGAATCATGTTCTTGCTGTGCCTTCAATTTTGAACAATCCATTTTGAGAAGGGCCATGCACACATTAATGACAGTCTGGAAGTCGGCCGAGTCAAAGGGATCCTTTTTGACAAATGAAAGCTTGAACATCAGAATAAAAATATATGTTGATAATCAGGATGTCTAGTGGAATTCTAAGAAGAAGAAAAATTACAGAGGAACAACATGCAAAAAGGATCCTCTGGAAACGCTGATTTTGTGAAGAGGCGGATATTGGACGGATTTAGATTATTACAATCTACTTTCTTGGCCAAGAACAAATCTGCTCTAAAAGAAACGAATATATCAGATCTTACAAACTTATACAGTCCCTTCTGAAGAGTATGAGGGTGTCTAATGACGGCTTGATTCTGGTCACATCCAACTCCAGGTATCACAAAATATTTTCATGTACTTACAGATTTTCTCACACCACATGTGAGCCCTGGCTCTTATATCCCAGAATGTAATGTACCCTTGAATAGGAGTATGCCATAAATCACAACATGCACACACAAAAGCGAGTGCTGATTGATCACTAACTTGTACCAATTGACATGAAGGGCTTAAGCCCAATTCACACGATTCAACACTTTGACACTTACTTTTCTTTTTCGCCCGATGAATTTTTTCCTCGGTTGTCACTCTTACACAATGGCCATTTCGACTTCAGTAGATGTCATCATCAGGTGCTTAAAACTAAGAACGAAAATAAAAAATAAAACCGAAGCTAAAAAATTGACGTTAGATTCACGTATTATCGCCGGCGACGCGTCGCGATACTAGTCAGTGGGATATCTCGCCGGTGATCAGCTGACTGTGTTGCGTCACGAAGGAGGGCGGGAGGGACGATCACTGGTGCCACCTGTTGCTCGATTTGTGAATTAAGTAGCTGTTCCTTAGGTGTTTTCGGTATTTCGATTTGTTCTAATACATTTAATTTCCGGCCTTTTTGACATACTTTTTCTAGTTTCGCATAACAATTTTCCAGTTTATGGTCAGTGTCGATTATATGATCCCCAAACGATGACTGACCTCTCCTTTTTAGTATGGCACAGTCAACGTGTTCCTTCAGCCTTGTTGCCACACTCCTTCCTGTTTGGCCTATATACATTTTCCCACAGTTACATTCTATTTTGTACACTCCGCTTGCTTCCAATTTTCCACATTTCTCTTTTGTATTGATCAAAATTCTGCCCAAATTTCTCTGGTTGCCGTAGGTTACTTTTACGCTTTTGTCCTTCTCTATTATTCCCTTCACTCTCTCTGATATTTTCTCGATATATGGTATTGAGATCCATTTTTCGGTCCCTTTTGTTTTCATTTTCCCATATATCATCCTGTCTCTTTTCTCTTGTTGTTTGCGATGTAGTAGATGAAAAATGTCACGTTTCTGATATCCGTTGTTAGTGGTAATGTTCAAGATAGTTGTTAGCTCCCTCTCATATTCCTCCTTTTCAAGTGGTATAGTTGTTAGTCTGTTAAGCATGCTATGGAACCCTGCCATTTTCTGGGGCCAGGGGTGGTACGAGTTATTAGGTATTATTGCATCTGTGAAGCATTGTTTCCTATAAATTCCAAACTTTATCTTTCTGTTTTCTACTCGTATGGTAAGGTCCAGGAAATTCAGAGTTTTCCCACCCACTTCCAATTTGAATCTGAGATTGGGGTGTAAATCATTTATTTCATTATGAAAAATGGACAGTTCTCGATCAGTGCCCAGCCAAACTGCAAAAATATCATCCATATATCTGAAATAACATAGAATTTTCGAGGCCCATTTATTGGATGTACATATTCTGTGGTCATATTTATCCATGAAAATGTCAGCCATAATGGGGGATATAGGCCCTCCCATTGGTAACCCTTTATTCATCTGATGATCAAATTGATGAGAACTGCCCTAAAATGGAACCTCCAACAATTATACCAACGTAGAGATATCATTTTTAAACAAATCATGGCCCTGCACCTTGAACTTCTTAATGATTTACATTTTCTCGAATTCGTAACATTAGAAGATAAAATCCACCTATTAATAAGTGATATCATAGCTGATAAAAAACAACGTCATGAGAAGAAATTCCGGGAAATAGTGGCAAAGCAGAGACCGAACCAAAAGAACGTTTTATTTAATCCCAAATTCATTAATATTTCGGACGTAATACTCACAGACGAAGAGATAAGTCTGTTAAGTAATGGTATGAAATTTTGCCCCCCTCCTAACACTAATAATAGACTGATGGATCTAGTCATAGACATTAACCATAAGATTTATAGTAAAAACACCCTGGAAACTATTTCACACGAAATAAACAACTACCCTAAAAGAATAAGTCAGCACGCAATCATACTAGTAAACGAGTTGAAAAATAAAATTCAAAACCAACAGATAATAGTCACGAAGGCTGACAAATCTAACACCTTAATTTTCATGAATGAACAAGAGTACAGGGGAAAAATCGACAATTTTCTACAACAAACGGAGATCGAAGAACAACTGAAAGACCCAATACCGGTCACTCAGAAAAACCTGAAAAACCTATTGAATAAATCATGGCAGTTAACTCAATATCCCAAATCACTCGTCCAGATGAACCCCCTCCCTCCAAAACTCCAAGGATACCTAAAAATCCATAAAGTCACGGAAGAGTTGAGTATCAGAGATGTTCCGATAAGGCCAGTAGTATCAACATGCCAATCACCCACATATGATGTTGAGAAATTCCTAATTAAAACCTTTAGGAGACATGTCACATGGAAACCCCAATACGCAGTCAAAAACTCAGGGGAACTGGCCGAAAAACTTGAGAACATAGAGATTCCCCTAAATGCTAAATTGATCTCACTTGATGTGGATAACTTATACACAAATGTAGATGTAGAGGAAACCAATATGAAGATGAAAACCATTCTGAAGGACCACTCATCCCTCTCAAAAGGTGAAATCATGGAATTCACAACGCTTTTAGAGTTCACCACTTCGAATAATTACTTCAAGTACAATGGGAAATTCTATAAGATGAATAAAGGGTTACCAATGGGAGGGCCTATATCCCCCATTATGGCTGACATTTTCATGGATAAATATGACCACAGAATATGTACATCCAATAAATGGGCCTCGAAAATTCTATGTTATTTCAGATATATGGATGATATTTTTGCAGTTTGGCTGGGCACTGATCGAGAACTGTCCATTTTTCATAATGAAATAAGTGATTTACACCCCAATCTCAGATTCAAATTGGAAGTGGGTGGGAAAACTCTGAATTTCCTGGACCTTACCATACGAGTAGAAAACAGAAAGATAAAGTTTGGAATTTATAGGAAACAATGCTTCACAGATGCAATAATACCTAATAACTCGTACCACCCCTGGCCCCAGAAAATGGCAGGGTTCCATAGCATGCTTAACAGACTAACAACTATACCACTTGAAAAGGAGGAATATGAGAGGGAGCTAACAACTATCTTGAACATTACCACTAACAACGGATATCAGAAACGTGACATTTTTCATCTACTACATCGCAAACAACAAGAGAAAAGAGACAGGATGATATATGGGAAAATAAAAACAAAAGGGACCGAAAAATGGATCTCAATACCATATATCGAGAAAATATCAGAGAGAGTGAAGGGAATAATAGAGAAGGACAAAAGCGTAAAAGTAACCTACGGCAACCAGAGAAATTTGGGCAGAATTTTGATCAATACAAAAGAGAAATGTGGAAAATTGGAAGCAAGCGGAGTGTACAAAATAGAATGTAACTGTGGGAAAATGTATATAGGCCAAACAGGAAGGAGTGTGGCAACAAGGCTGAAGGAACACGTTGACTGTGCCATACTAAAAAGGAGAGGTCAGTCATCGTTTGGGGATCATATAATCGACACTGACCATAAACTGGAAAATTGTTATGCGAAACTAGAAAAAGTATGTCAAAAAGGCCGGAAATTAAATGTATTAGAACAAATCGAAATAATGAAAACACCTAAGGAACAGCTACTTAATTCACAAATCGAGCAACAGGTGGCACCAGTGATCGTCCCTCCCGCCCTCCTTCGTGACGCAACACAGTCAGCTGATCACCGGCGAGATATCCCACTGACTAGTATCGCGACGCGTCGCCGGCGATAATACGTGAATCTAACGTCAATTTTTTAGCTTCGGTTTTATTTTTTATTTTCGTTCTTAGTTTTAAGCACCTGATGATGACTTCTACTGAAGTCGAAATGGCCATTGTGTAAGAGTGACAACCGAGGAAAAAATTCATCGGGCGAAAAAGAAAAGTAAGTGTCAATCACGTAGTTCCCGATTAAGAAACAAAGGATTAGTAGTTAGTATTCAACACTTTATCAGACAAAGACAAAGGAGGATTGGAACAAGAAGTTAAATGCATTAAAATTTGATTAAAGTGCCTCTGCCATGTGATATCGTCAGATGGATTTTGGGTATCTCCATCAGGCCTGATTCGCGAGGATACAACCTCCGCTAGTGTCAGTTGGAAGATTTTGTTTTAACTTTCCTCAAATTTTAGTTGAAATGTAAAGTTGAAAAGTTAAATGTATCGTCAAATTCAGGTTTCTATTCATACTTTCAGTAAATTACTAGCTGGTTACATGCGGTAGCTGTATCGATGTCGATACATTCATGATTATATTCGTTTTAAAGCTGTTAATTGTTGAAGGATAGTTGCAAGACCCATTAGTCTTTGATCCTTTACTTTCTTCACTTAAGTTTATTTATCCGATCCGGATACAATTGGATCAATTTCAGCTCCGCGCCTTGCGCGGTAGCTCTTTCTTGCCTCTCACATTCATCAATGTAGCCAAGTAACCCAACCAGATCTCATCAGTGATAATCAGAAACGCACCGGGTAGCGCGATGCTGATGGAAGACCGCCTCTGAGTGTTCACATTCAATGGCCTCCTGTGTTTATTAAAGAGCGTCATGTAGTTACTTTTAATTTTTTTACGGCAATGGCTGACCTTTCTAAAAGTATGGATACCATTTTCTCCTCTTAAATCCACTTCTTAAACTTACAGCAATTTCTTGAAGTTAGCCTCCAATGTAGTACCAAATTCGTCAGCCTCAATGC